ACAGTTGCGGGGCTGGAGATTTAGCTCATTGGCACAGTGCCTACCTGGCAAGCACGAGGTCGTGAGTTCGATTCCCGGTACTGGAAAAAAAAAAAAACAAAAAAAAAAATTGGTCATTAACTATATTATTTACTGTGGGATTATTTTGCAGATTCTTTTCATTATATTCTGAAATTTATTCCTTTATTTTTCTAGGAGTTTCATAATGTATGATATTAAATATGTATGTATCTTCATTTGTTAAAGTAAAAATAATTTTAAATATGAATAAGTTTTGTTATCTAAATTTTTATGATAATCAACTTTTATATGTTGCTGATACCTTACTGATATTTTAATGTATTGCTTTGCATAACCTAAGTGATACTTAGTATATTTTTGTCTGCATGTTAAATTTTTTTACAAAGTTTAGGCAAACCTCAAATAAATATTTTGAGAACATTTCCTGTGTTGCAGATTTTGCAAGAAATTCAATGAGAGTGACACTGGATGCTTCTGGAAATATATATGTAAACTATATTTTGTTCATATTTTCATCACTTTATGGACACAAGTTGTTTCTTTTTTTTAACTATTACAAGTAATATTGATATAACTTTATGTGTATATACATGTACATATATGTATGTATGAATATGTGTATAGCTTAGGAGAATGAGAGAGTCAGAAAGAGAATATATAATTGTATAGGTTTCATATTATGTAGCAGTAAAGATGAATGTGCTGCTGATAGATTCTACAACATTGATGAACCTTAAAATATCCTAAATATGAAAGACACCACAAAAGAAGTATCACTTATTTTATGACTTTCTTTGCAAAGTGGTCTCTATGTTGTGTCCGCTGGCCCCAAATTTGCAACTCTTCTCCTTTCACCTCCCAAGTACTTCAGGTTCTAAGCCCGTGCCACCATTCCTACCTTTAGGATTGTATTTTTATGACATGTCCAGAATAGGCAAATCCACAGTGATACAAAGCAGAGCCCTCATCCAGGGTATGGAAAAAGAAAGAAAAGGGAAGTAACAGTGAATGAGTATTGTATTTCTTTATGTGTTGTTAGCATGCAGTGACTACAGCCAACAATTACTTATTATATATTCCAAAATAGCTAGAAGTATTTTTGACTGTTCTCAGTGCAAAGAAATGATTTGAGCTGATAGCTGTATCGAATTTAATTATCATACATTGTATTCATGTGTTACATGAATGTTACAATATCACACGATAACCCATAAATATGTGCCATTATTGTCAATTAAAATATACAAATATTCTAAATATAGTAATGGTTATAAAACTCTAAATATACTAAGCAACAGTGGATTGAACGATTAAATTGGGTGAAATTTATGTAATATAAATATTTTTGATAGAACTGCTAGAAATCTAATGTTCTAATCACTTAAAATAGAATTTATTTAGCAACTATGACATTAAAATTGAGTATATATAATCGTTCAGTACTTTAAATGATTAAATTTATGTTCAACAGCCATATCTCTTAATACTATTTAGGACCAGTATTTTATTATTTTAACATATCTGTATATTTGATGTTATGAAATTTAAAAATGGATAAAAACATATCTCCCAAGTTAACTTTTTAAAAAGTGTATTAGTGTAGGCATGTTAGTGCCCTCCTGTAATCTCAACACTGTAGCAGGCTGAGTCAAGAGGATTACAAATTTGTGCCCAGGCTGGGAAATTTTATGATTTACTGAGACATTGTCTCAAAATAAAAATTTAAAAAGGGCTGGGAATGTAGCTCCATGAGAAAGTTCTTCAGTTCCCAGTACTTTTTGAAAAAAAAAATTGTCAAATTCATTTGGATTGTCTGGTTCCTGAAAAATGATTAATAGATGAAACCTTTGCTTTTTTTTTCAATAGGCTTAGACCGGCATTTCTGGAGATTTTGTTAAGCTGTTTTATATTTTATAAATGTTGGAATTCTGCATTTTCAGCAAGCTTCCATTTGATGTTGGGTAGCAAAATCTTACATGGAGTATATAAGAAATAATACGCTATTTCAAAAAGAACTATCATAAAAGCAGAGAAAATCTTTGACATAACCTGAGGCTATCATAAACTGTAGTGTGTGCTTGGCAGCAGCCTTGGTTGTAAAACAATATACAACCATGGGCTAAGAGATTAGAGAAGAACTTTAAAGTTTTGCTTTTATCTCTTCCCAACTTTGTCCTGGAAGATGACTGCTACCCCGTTCTTACTGAGAGCAGTGTTTGAGGAGGAACAGCCCTTGACTAGGAGTATTTGACAAATAATGTCAAGGCAACTTGAAAGTTATGATGCATTAAACAAAAAAAGATGCCACTGTTTTCTTTTCAGGGAAGCAGAGAACAAGAATAATTTTGCTCCTATCCTTGAAGTAATAGCAAAAGCCAGACAAACAGCAAATCCTAGGTTTTTCTGAAACTGTCCAGAAAGCTGGCATAGCAGGACAACAGAGTGACCTAAAATCCAAGGAAGAACAAGTACTTACAGGAAGAAATATGATGATAGCTCTAGTCTAAAGGTAGCAGACACACCCAGTCATCCATAAGAATTGTGTTAGAGTGGTTGGTGAATTGGTAGAGGCCATGTATACACTAGTGAGAGCACGGAGATGCTAGAGGCTGCACTTACAGGGGAATAATCATTCTCCTGTAAATTTATACTCTGCAGCCTTCATCTACATGTTGCTCCCAGAGGGGACTATAGTGAGGCTGGAGAATGTGTCCTTCATAGTGCAGACCCAGGGACAGTAACCCAGATTCTTCCATATGGTGCCAGGTTTGGATTGCATTCCAGACCTTTGGGGACATAGAGGGCCTGAAAATAAAAATAACAGTTAAAAAAACCTAAATGTTAAGCTTCTTGAGGAAAATGTCTACTGTTTCTCTAGCGTCTGTGGAAGATGAGATGGATGCTATTTATATCCACTGGAAACTGGTTATCAATATAGAAAACTAGTAAATTGCCTTTTTATATCACAATATATCACAATATAAATATAAATACTAGATGCAGAAGTGAAATTTCGTGATCTTATTGAAAGTCATAGGTTGCAAATTAAAAGAAGCACATTTAGATTTGCTAAGAGTATATATTATGTGGTCTCATCCTCCATATGCACATATACAGAATGGTAATCATGTGAGCTGGGTAAATATGTTAATTAGTTTGATTGCGGAAAAATTGCACAAGGTATGCTTATATCAAAACACTATATACACTTTATATATGTACAATTTTTATTTGCCAAATACGCATCAAAGCTGGGAATGAAAGAAGTACATTTAGGATATCATTATTCAGCCAAGTAGCAAGGTGCATTTAAATCATTACTTTGAGCGTATTTTATCTTATGTGAAAAATACAATTATTTAGAAGTTACTAGTAGGAAAAATATTCTTTTTTTCTTATTCTTCTGTTTTTTGTCTTTTCTTCCGGTACCAGGAATCGAACTCACGACCTTGTGCTTGTCAGGCACGCGCTTTGCCGCTGAGCTAAATCCCCAGCCCCAGGAAAAATACTTTGAAGAATGTTGTGTGAAATCTTTCTTGCTCTCTTTATTTGAAAATTCCTTGTAATCTGGACTTGCTAGAACAATTTGACGGGATGATGTGGTATAGAAATTCTATATAAATGTTTAATATTAAAGCAGCACAGGGCTGGGGATATAGCCCAGCGACACAAGCGCCTGCCTGGCAAGCGCAAGGTCCTGAATTTGATTCCCAGTACCCCAAAAAATAAGTAAATAAATACAGGAGCACAAATGAAAGAAGTCCTAAAAACTTCCAAAGGATATAGGACATGTGTTGTGCAAGAGAAAACAGTCTTCCTGTACAACATATAAAGAAATCCTGGTTTGTAAAGTTGGTACACATAGCATGACCGTATAGTCACTTTTTCTAAATGGAAAATAGGAATGAAGGATTTTAGGGTATTTATGATGATCACCATTTGCCCTTTTTCAGAAAAGAAGTTTTCTCAAACATTGAAGAATCTAGGCATTTTTGGATACTATAATAAAAGGAAGGGGCTGGGGATTTAGCTCAGCGGCAAAAGCGCCTGACTGGCAAGCGCAAGGTCGTGAGTTCGGTTCCCGGTACCGGAGAAAAACCAAAAAAAAAAAAAAAAAAAAAATAAAAGGAAATACCATATTCAATATAGCAGTTATTGTCACCCTTACACCTACCCCATTGCAGTTTTTCCGATATTTACTTAAAAACTAAAATTTTCCACTTTTTGTGCCTGACTCAGTGTAGTAATTATTCTGTACTTAAGAATATTTTGCATAATTCCTCCATTTGTGTGTGTGAGTGTGTGTGTGAGTGTGTGTGTGTGTGTGTGTGTGTGTGTGTGTGTGTGTGTAGCAAAGGATTAAGCCAGGGCTTCATGGCTAGGCAAGTATTCTACCACTGAACTGTATCTTCAACCTCTTGCATTGTATTTCCTTTTATAGTTCAATTCTTATTTCTTTAATCCATAAATCTCTATCCTCTTCCATATTTCTTATATGTGGAGGAATTTCTGCAACAATTAAAGAACCTAGCAGTGAATTCTAGAGTTACTATATTTTTTGTTTTTGTTTTTGAGATAGCCTCACTATGTTACTATGGTTTTGTGATACTTTGGTTTTGAGCCTCCTTACCCAAGCATCTTGAGAAATATTAATGAATGAGTTGAACTTCAGGGTACTCAACAGAAAGAGTAATGCTGAAATAACTCCGTTTATCTTTAATTAGTCCATGACAGCATACTTTCCAAAGAGATTCATGTAGAAATAAAGGACACCACTTTCAGATATGTTAAGCTTTATAGATATATCTCATAATATTATACTTCTGAAGATTAACTTTTATTTTTCTTTCCAAAATAATATGTTTCTTGTTTTCTAAGCAAAGGCAATTTTTTCTTTCACTATTGCTCACATTTTCATAAGATACCTTTTAACAGAGTAAAACTATTGCTATAGTTATATGTTTCTTTTTTTCAAATAGGTCCTATTCCTTCTGAGAGATGGATAGTAAATTTTGACAAAGACCTTTTAGATGGCCTTGTTTTTGCAGCACAGTTAGCAGCCTATTGTCCATTTTTGGTAAGAACTCCTTGAGGGAATTTAGCGATTATTATTTGAAATGTGTTCTGTAAACTGATTGTTTTAAATGTCTTAATTTTAAAGGCATGTATTTGAACTGCTAGCATTGACTTTTTATTGTATTTCAAATGCAGTAATTTAGTACTTACAAATTTAATATTTAATAATCCTTTCATCAACTACAGAGAACCCTTTAAATGGATCAATTTTTATTTCATAAAACCAGTTTGTTTTCTTTTCTAGATTGAGTCTCATTTTGTAAATATGTATACACAACCAAAACGTCCTGAACAGTATCTCCACAATGGCTTGATTATTATAAATAGTTTTTATGAAATTGGCTTTGACATGGGCATACAGGTAGGTTCCTTTATATCATAATAGTATACACATTTTATGAATTTCTTTGTAATATTGCTTTGTTCATAAATTTTAATTCTCAGTTGAAACAGACCTCATGAATCAAATAATGGAAATTAAAGCATGATTCACAGGGATACATTGGACATAAATTCATAATACATAATTATTTGATGGCATATTTAATATACTACAGTAATCACATTATAATATAGTACTTATGTACATGCAATTTTGGATAATAAAAATGAATTTTAGTTTCAGTATGTGACACCATAACAATGATGGCTAAATGCATGATTAAATTACCCATAATCTAATAATGACTTAGAAGGAGAGCTATGGAATATTTATATTGATTTATCTTTTAACATTTTATCAAAAAGTAACTGAATATTTGAAATACATGCTCACTTTTGTAGTAGCCCTTTGTTACTTAGGGGTCATGAAATGATATAATAAATGATTCCTGACTTTGAAAAATACACAAATTCATTGCATTATCAAGATGAGTACCTGTTAAAAGATAAAGTTCTACTCATTTAATAAAGTATCAATAGGGATACCTGAAAAAACAAAATCCAGAATTTGGATGAAGGAAGAGATCAATGTGATGCAGTCTATTCCACCAACAGCATTGTGACGGAAGGAAGACTTATTTGGGATCTGAGAGGGTGGATTGGATTTGGACTGATAATGTTGAAAAAAGAAGTTGTTTGCTCAAAGGCAATAGTATGAACAGACTGGGAGTAATGGAAAATACCATACGTTAAGGATATTGCTGGCCAAGGTTTCCCCAGAGCTGAGGATATAACTCAGTGGTGGAGTGCTTGACTAACATGCCGAAGGGTCTGAATTTCTGTCCCCAGCCCTCCAGAAAGAAAATATGAAATCAGGTTTCCCTAGTTGAGGTTTGGTGTTGGTAACTTAGACATAGGCGTATGTTATGATTTAGATCTAAAATATCCCCCAGAAATCTCGTGTTGAGAGGTGGGGTTTTTGAGAGGACATTGGATTGCAGAGACTCTATATTCATCAGTGGATTAATCCATTGATGAGTTCGTAGATGAATGTGCTACTGGGGAGTCTGGCCTGGTTAGAAGAGGTGGGTCACTAGGGGCATGATCTGGGAGAGTTTTTGGGTTTTTCTGCTTGCTGGATGTCATGTACTGAACACCTTTCACTGCTTTGCCTTGGAGCCAGCCAACCATGGACTGAATGCCCTCAAATCCTGAGCCAAAATAAACCTCCCACTTTTAAATTCTAGATGTCATGTATTTTGGCCCAGAAACAGGAAAGTGACAAATAGAATATATAATATACCTGCATAAAAGGTCACAAGTTTACGAGATGGGAATTATGACACCAAAGGCTTTTTTGCTTACAACAATAATCAGAATGGAATGAGGGGCAAGGAACTAGAGACAAGGAAAACAAACTAATAAGAATACAGTTGCAATTAGTCAAAGAGAATGGTAAATACTTTTTCTACTCTTACCAGTTTTTTTCTGTACTGGGTATTTATCCCAGGGCCATTACTACTTCACCCAGCCATTTAAAAAAAAATTTTTTTTTGAAGCAAGTTCTCACTGTCCCTAAATTGCCCAGGCTGAGCATGACTTCATGATTCTCCTGTCTAAACTCCCTAGAGTGCTGGCATTACAGACCACTGTACACAGATAATCTATTCATACTCTTTCAATAGGAAATGAAAATGCTGTGCTAATGAAGCAGAAGTTATGAGGTTCACTAGACCTTTTAAGCAGCCAAAAAAAAAGTGCACAAGAGAAAGACCATCCCAAAAGATAAATGCTGGTGTCCAAATCTGCCCAAAATAATGTAATTTCTTTATATATGCCGTAGAAATGAGTTTTACAATGCCTACTTTCATACTTTCATTAAAGTCACCTGGATATTAAAGTAATTTTGTAACAAACATGACAATTATTTTCCTTTTTATTGGTAAAACTGTGAAGATGAACTACCATAGAAATTACTTAGAGTGTTGTTTTATAGTAGTAGCATTTTGAGAACAAGCTGTAATGAAATACTTTGGTTCTGAAGAATGAATACTTTACAAATCCTTTAAGTTCAACAAATCACTGAACTTCTGTAAACAGTGCTGGATAGAGCCTATAAAGTACTGATATGTGAAACTACACTCATGTCTTCAAATATGTTACAAAATAATAATGACAAGTATTTGAAAACAAGCTGATGAGAGCAGAGAGTGAATGCCACAATAGACATACAGAAACATATTATGGAAATTCAAGGAGGCAAGAAGTCATTCAAGCAAGGCACCTAGAAAAATTACACGAGACACTTGGTGTTTACACTGGCCCTTGAGAGTTTGGTAGACAATTAACTTGTAAATAGAAAAGTTTTCTTTTGGCTTTTGTTTCTGGGCATTCCTGTCCAAACTTGAGTGACCCCATTGCTTAAGACTTCCAGAAAGTGGAGAACATCATGAGTGGAGTGTGTGATGGAGCAAACGACAAACCCTTTGGCTGGGAAAGGAAAGAGGGGGAGCAAAATACCAGGATCCCATGATACCACTTAAGGGCATACCTCAGAGGCCTAAGACCCACCACTATGCCCAGTGTTTTATTGATTCTACCACCTTTCAAAACACGATCCTGGAACTCAACAGAGTTTTTTCCCATTGCTTATCATTCTTACCATTTGTGTAACCCAAAAGGCACTTTTTTTTTTTTCCAAAATGCACTTCATGAAAGAACACAGTGCTCCTCTGTGTTCATGCTCAATAGTGCTTTGTCCTTCAGATAAAATACACCTATCCCCTCAAAACAGACAAAATCTCCTGAAGGGACAAGCACACTTAAAGACCCATTTCATGTGCCATTTCCTTTCATGGGCTTTACCTTCAGAATTGCTTGCCATATATTTTGCTTCAGTAGTTTGTCTCCTTGTCATTCTTCTTTTACTGCACTATCGAATACTTTACATCAAGGATGGCATCTAAAGTCACTTCAGTCATCATTTCTAAGGTACAGTATTCTTCTGAATTCTGACTGGTTTTTAGGAACTCTTTGAAGCTGAGGTCGATTTTTTAATTAGAATGTGCCTAATTCATCTTTTGACATGTAAAGTTGTTACAGTTTAGAATAATGTTTTGTTTCCTGTATCTATTTCAGTATCATTGCACATCAAAGAAAATCAAAGTTTTAAGATAATTCGACAGTTCACAAATTATGCTTTCTTTCTTTTTATATTGTATCTGTATATCCTCGAATTTTTTAAAAAAAATTTTTATTTTAAAGAGTAAAAGAAGGATAACATACTAATAGGGGGAGTTACTGAATTACAGACAAAGTGGTAGGAAATTCTCAATGGTTGTTGTTTTATATATTGTTATCTACAAGATAGTTTCTCAGGAAAACAGACAAATAATAGTGAGCTACAGACAAAAATGGTAGGTTATTATCAATGGTTGTTGTACTATACTTTGGTATCTTCAAAGTGGCTTCTAAAGAAAATAAGTAGAGCTATACATGAGTGACCAATTAAATATTCATTGACTGTTCTCAATGGTAGTTGTAGGAGACACAGTAATAAACATACATCCATTTATGAAATAGCGTAGGAACAATACAAACGTTACAGAGTTATGGACAGATTAGTAGGAAAATATCAATGGCTGCTGTAATATATGTTGGTATCTTCAGAGGGGTTTCTCAGAAAGACAGAGATATGCAAGAAAGGTCTAACAAGTAGTTACAACCTAAGGTTTGTGTAAAATAGTGTATTACCTCCTCACCAGTGACTCCTTTCACTGAGGTATGACGGCTGGAAGGAAGGCCAGGACTGAAAAGAAGGACCAAGAGACTTGCACCTGTGTTTAGCAATAGGCTGTTTTCTTGTTCCTCCATAGTCCTGATTACCCAGCGCTCCTCCATGGAGATGACAGTCTGGCCAGAGGGAGAAGGCAGAGTATGCCCCAGGCTTCCTCATTCCTGTTAGACTAACTGGTAGGATGGGTCTGATCTCTGGGTCCTCCTCTTCAGAGGTCAGACCGATCTCCAGTGGTCACCTTTGCATTCAGGGCATGGCCCAGGGGACTTCTTAGGGCAGTCCCTCTTGAGGTGGCCTGGCTTTTAATAGTGGTAGCAGATGAATATACTCCTCGAGTTCTTCTTGGGGCCCCAAGAATCACACTTAGGGTCTGTTTCTCTTGGTGCTGTGGCAAAAGCAGCTGATTTTTTTTGGTCTTTCTGTTTTCTCTCCTTGGCTGCCTCCTCATCATGGCTATAGAACACTGAGGAGACAATCCTTACTAACATCTCAAGGGAGCCATCTGGGTCGAAAGCCATTTTTTGTAGCTTTTTCTCTCCAGCCTCCCAGCACATTGGGACCCTGCAACCACTTAGTGTCCTCTCCCCAACTGTCAGCACAGGCAGCAGGAATCTTGGTGCAGACATCTCTGGAGCTCCACGTGCTCCTCCACCACAGCCTGTACTGTCAGGGGAAGAATGGCTTCCAGGGGGTCTCCCCAGGTATTGTGCAAAGTCCTCCTGGTTTCTAGCTTCCAAATGGCTCTCATGACCCCAATCACCTACACCTCTGAGTCTTCTGGTATGGTCTGTATTCTTGTGTTCTCCATGTCCTTGTTTAGCAGCTGCTCCTCTTCTGAATCTTGATCTTTCTGGTTCTTAATGGCAAGGGCAAGAGCAACCCATTGTGTGCCATGTATTCCCAGGAGTTTCTCCATGTCAGGATGATTCACGCACGTCCTTGGGCGGGACTTGACGGCCAGCGTGTGGTGGGCCAATTGTGTCATTGCTTCTCTGGGCCATGAAAGTTCTTGACTGTGTGGTGGTGGCTGGGTGGAAGGCCAGGGTGGGCCAGCGCGCGCCGCCGTGTGGCTTCCCAGATGCTGGCTGCCCGCCTCCCAGGCACCTGTGGGGCTGGGATCTGGCCCAAAGGCCGGAGCTTCCTGCCCTGTGGCTTTCCAGGCACAGGCGACCCACCTCCCAGGTAGACCTGCCTCCCTCTAATTTGTATTCCTCTTTTTTATACTAGGCCATTGATATCTGTGATCCAAATCCAGTCCTAATGCTCATGCTGTGTGTCCACATGTATGAAACGCTCCCTGCATTCCTCCCCAAGAAAGTGGTGCCATTTTATTGTACTCTGTATGACTCTGTGCTGAGAGAGGTAAGTATATATTTGGGGATAAAATAAATATGGTCATATACTTTAAAAAAATTTTGGATTTTTCTTATCCAAACTGAAATTAAGAAAAACATGCCTATGTAGTATAATATTCTTTGAATTGAATAAGCCATGCCAATTATTACTCTTTCTAAGCAAAGAAGAATGAAGGGCATAATTTTTGCTTAATAATAATCACCACTGCAAAAAAAAAAAAAAAAAAAGATGGCTCAACTTTTTTCATTTCTATTTTGTAAAGAATAATTTACTCTGAGCCTGGGATATAGCTCACTGGCACAGCACCTGCCTGGCAAGGTGCAAGGTCCTGAGTTTGATTTCTGGAGCAACAACAAAAAAAGAATCATTTATTCTGTATGCAAGTTAATTTACCACTTTGACACGATTCATATTTTCTTTCCCTTATCCTGTATTATATTCTCCTTGCCATATTTATTTGAAGAGGAAGAGAATTATCTACTTTGAGTACAAAAGTTATCCACATTTGATCTTTAAAAGATATGTTCTGGTGATCTTTAGAATTTTATGTTTTAGAAAATAACTGTCTGGTCTCATGATGGTTTGCATAGTGATTAGTAAGGATTTAGTTAAAAATGGAAAAATTCAGGTTCTTCCTTCAAAGTTTAGATACCTCAGTTTAGGGAAAGAAAAGTTCCTGTTCAAGTTTCTGTTTGAAAACAATGAGATATGATTTCTTGTTTTATTTCTTTCATTTTTTGTTAGAAAAAAAGAGAGATAAAACTGGAAAATCTCCTCAACAGTATTTACTATGATATTCTGTAACAGAAATGATATTCAAGGACTTTCTTTAATTATATTGGAGAGCATTTTGGCTTCAAAATAAAAATTAAAATAATTAAAAGTACTTTGCTTAAGCTCTCAGCAGATAAGAGTTTTGATTAAGCAGTAATTTATTACAGTTAACTGTTATTAACAGTTATCTAATTCTCTTTATATTTCTTCATATCATATTTGTAGTCATAATTTACATGTCTTCATTTTTTGAAAATAGTTAATATTGGAGTGAGAGTATTGCTTAGTGGTTGAATGTGTACGAGATGTGCATTAAACCCGCTTTCAATCCCCAGCACTGCAAAAAAGGTCAATATTAGCATTATCTAATGTTTGTAAATGAACATTAATTATGATTTTAAAAAATTAAACCATATTTAAATGACAATATGATTTATTTTCTCATTTATCACATTACTAGGAGTACTCTTCATATTTTGAGATGGTTTATAAAGATGAAGTATTTATTTTCACCAATATAAGTTCTTGCACATACAAAATTAAATAATAATTGCATTTTTTAAATTATAAAACTTAAATTACAAGTTTTGATTTTGTCTCTTAGTGGAGAAAAGCAGTGACTTGGAAATTGCTGAGAATTTTGTTGTATTTTGTCTCTGTGAATCAACACATAAATGACACTGCTTAAATCATAGAATATCAATCATCCTAACCCTATCAACACTCTAGAATATAGAAACATCTTAAGAAATTGGTTTTAGAATTGAAAAAAATTCCATTTTTCAGAAATAAACATAGAAAGCTGGAATCGGTAAAATAAAATCCATAGTGGTTATTGAAAAAACAAAGAGTGCAGTGTCTTTTGAGACTTTTCAGAATCACTGGAGGTATTTCATTTCCTTTTTGAAATAAAATTTATCCAAAGTTGAATGGGACAGTCTGAGTACAGATGAGCCAAATACTTCTGTGCCGTCTATCTGATATGACAAAATGAAGATAAGTGGTTTCCTTAACATGTTTAGGTGGGCAATGGAAATCCAGGACTATAAACCTAGTAGCAGTGCACAGTGAATTCACTGTGATTTTCAAAATTTTCTTGCAAAAAGAAAATAGAAATTAGCTTTCTAGGAGCTGAAATAAATTTTATCTATTAATGAATACTTGAAATATATATATATTATATATATACATATATATCATATGTAATATATATGTATATATATAATCACTAAGAGTCTACACCAAGCATGATAGTGCATACCTGTAATCCCAGCACTCGAAAAGGGTAAGGCAAGAAGATTGTAAATTCAAGCCTAACCCAGGCAACTTAGCAACCTCTCTCAAATAAAATGAAAAAAAAATCTAGGTTGTAGCTCACTGTAAAGGTTTAAGTTAAATCCCCGTACCAAATGAGTGAATGAATGAATAAATAAATAAATAATTTCATGCATACATATATAAACTGGAGCGGTCTTGTCTGCATTTTGAATGATACCTCTAAGTTGTTGAGCCATGTGAGATTCCTAAAGCCTTGAGCCACAAAGGAGAAATTCTACAGCCACAACACAGTTGTCCTAGTAGTTACCAAATTTCTCACTGAACTAAGAATGCAGTTGATTTACTCTTTACTATTTATTATTCCTTTTAACATTCTTTATTATTCACTATGACCTTATATACTACTACTTTTTTGTACTTCAAATATGTCTGACTGTAGGTCTTGGACTTCTTATGTTGCAGACACCTTTTCTTTACTCTTATGTGGCCAGTCAGCTCTTTGCCGAATAGTCTCCCTCTTCTAGGTTAGTGCTTTCCACAATGATGTCTTTGTATGTTGTGACGGAATAAAACTACATTTGACACACGTTAAAATGGTCAGGCAGACTTTGATTCAAGACTGTATAGATATAGTGACTACTACAATGCAGTTTTGCAAGAGAAGAGAGATTGAGTTCAACTCTGAATATAACAAGGAAACGTAACAGTTTATTTCCAAAAAAGAAGGGAGTGGGTGATAAATAGAGACTAAGAGGGAAATGAGGAGTTTAGGAAGATTCTGGCTAACTCACCATCACAGGACTTTAGCTAAAGGAGGACAGAATGGTCAGCTATCCCCTGTGGGATGGTGAACAATGAGGAATTTGATTCATTATAAAGATGATCAAGTAGAGAAATTGGCTAAGATGGAGGTTTTGGCTAAAGTGGCATAGCATAATTCTTGTTAAAATTAAGCCCTTAAAGACATGCCCAAAGATAGGGCCTAGTTGAAACTGAAGTAAAAGGAACATGGTTAGAGTTTGGTCAGTGAGTTTGGTTTCCTGATCTGTTTCTTTGAGTTCCTGTTATATTCTACATAAACTCTTTGTAAACTTACATTTTTTCAAGAGATATTCTACTCAATGGTAAAATACATGATTCTCTAGCATTCTCTGTGTCTCTAGTTCAGGAAGTGAAGGAGAACCAATGCCTAATGAAACTCCTGCTGCTAGTCCAGGCCACACATCATTTCTTGCCTGGGGCTATATTTTTAAATCTATAGACTTTATAATACTTTCTACACTGAGCAGCCAAATTATTCTCTGTGTAAACTGGATTATGCAAGTGATGTGTTTAAAATAGTCCAAAGATTTCCCTTTGCAATAAAAAATAAAGTCCCCATTGCTCGTTTTGGTTGTCTATGTTGATCAGTTAATTTTTCTATTTTTTACATCTCTTGTTGAAAACTACTTTTTCCTTCCTATTTCAGGTAAATGACACAGGTAGGTAAATGATAGATAGATAGATAGATAGATAGATAGATAGATAGATGGGCTTACTATTGTTAAATACAAGGTCTGACTTTTCCAGATAGTGTATATTAACTATTTTCATAGTTAGAATGGTTAGAATGCCTAACTCTTTGATGAAATAATAATTATACAGTTATATAATTTGTAAATTAATAATGTTATTTCATTCTTCTCAACATAGATACTACTGAAAAATTCAAGCTTGGAAACCATAGTGTATCATGTTACAATTATTGGAAGAGATGCTACTGACTTCTCTCTGGCTCAGAAAGGAAATGTTGTGACCATTCCTCCACAGTAAGTATTTTTCATAAAAATTGCTTTATCAAACATATCAAACATAGAATTTTATATTTATTATAATTATAGAGAAGTGACTTGAATATATTAAATATATGTAAATATATATAAATCTACCATGAATATATATAACATATAAGGAAATACATAGTTAAAATATTTTGAAACATTCTTTATTAGTGTAAATTTGCATTCTATAATAATTATGTTTGTTTTGGAGATTCCACACATATACATATTTTGTGTGGATCATTTTTAAAATTTTTTTTATTTTAAAGAGAAAAAAAGCAAAACAAAATAACAACAAGAAAGACAAAAACAAAACAACACAAAAACAATGAAAATGATGCAAAATTTCAAAATAAGGTGATAGGAAATTAACAATAGCTGGTTATATTACATATATTACATATTGTTGCTGAGATTGCCAGATGTAAGAATGTAGGATTGATCAAACAATTAAATATCAATTATTCCTTTCAATAAATCACTAGAAAGCAGTGGTACAATTATCTTAGCTATCTTGTGTGTACATATTTTATATATGTATGTATATATATATATATACACACACACACATTTGTATATATTTTCCCTTTCTTTTCTCCTTTCCCCCATCACAGTTTTCTTTCCTCTTAAAAAAGATAAACATAACAATGAAACTGAGTTTCCAAATACGTTATTAGGACAGCTATAATAGTTAATATATTTTTTATTGTCACCTTCTTAGTAGCAGATGAGGCTTTTAGGTGATTAGTATTCAGAGTAGAAGATACATACATGCTATCTTGCCTATACAGTATTAGCACAAGACTCTCTTTTCAATGAACTAAGAGGTATTAGCTATGTAACAGTTTTAACTATCTTGTACACACATGCTTTTTATATACTTATATAGAATTTTTTTTTTTGGTTTTTCTCCGGTACTGGGAACCGAACTCACGACCTTGTGCTTGCCAGGCAGGCGCTTTGCCACTGAGCTAAATCCCCAGCCCCTAGAATTTTCTTTATTCAGCTCTTGATGAGCATATAGGCCACTTCTGTAATTTAGCTATTCTGAATTATGCTGCTATAAACATGGGTATTCATGTATCACTGAAATATGTTGTCTTCAACTTTTTGGTAAGATATTCAGAGAAAGAATAGCTAGGTCACCTGGGATTTCTACTTTTAGTTTCCTGGGGAATCTGATTGTTCTAGTGATTGTCGTAGGTTACCTTCCTACCAACAGTGTGGAAGGTTTCTTTTTCCCTCTTCAGCAGTTGTGGTATTTTGAGTTCTTGAAGACAGCAGTTCTTCCTGGGGTAAGGTAGAATCTCAGTATTCTTTTGCTTCTCGTTTCTCTAATGGCCAAAGCTACTGAGCATTTTGATGTACTTACTGCACATTTGTAGTTCTTACTTTGTGAAGTGTCTGTTCATCTCAATGTCCCATATTGATTGATCGGGTTTTTTTGGGGGAGGGTATAATTGTTTTTAGTTCATTATGTATTATAGATGTTAGTCCTCTGTCTAAGGAGCAGCTAGCAAAATTTTCCACGTTCTGTAGGTTGTCTCTTCCCCTGTTGATTGTTTCCCTTGCTGTATGGAAGCTTTTAAATTTGACAGAATCTCATTTATTCATTCATGATGTTATTTCATGTGCCTTTGGGGTACTATTCAAGAAGTCTTTGCCTATGCCTGACATAGATAAAATATTTATTTTCTGAGATCCCTGACTAATTTTGTTAAAACGGTTATGACAACATTAACAGCTATATTTTAGTGTATGCATGATATTTTTCATGTAGATGAGCCATGCAGATGAAATCATAAGTTTGACTGTGTACTATAGTTTGACCCACTGCCTTCAGTATTTTAAACAACAAGAGCAGAGAAAAAACCCTCCTTCTGCAGAGAACGTACCATTTTGTAAGGGCATAAATAGATTTTTTACATGTCTGTACTGTGATGATACAAATTCATTTCAGCATTGTCATCAAACTGTCTCATCCGGGATGTGAAAACTTGAGTTCTGTTCTCCACTTTTCAAGTATAATATAAGATGGTTTTTCCCCAGCTTATGCTACTCATAAATCTAATAGACTATCCCAGTAGTTCAAAGCTTGCATTATGTGGATATTCTCTTATAATCGTACTATTTCTGTGATATTTTAGCTTAAAATAATTTTTCCTGTTAAATAAAATTAACTTTTAGCATTTTTATTATAAATATATAAATCAGTCAATCATAAAGAATTTGAGTTACAAAAAAATGTACAGAAGATAAAATTACCTAGGATCATATGAACATAGTCTGTTACTTTATGTCCTTCTAGTCATTTATTTATATTCTAATATGTATAACTGTATTTCATAACAAATTAATTATATGTAGAAATGTATATTGAGTTTAATAAGTATTTGTTGTATACAAAAATCTGTATACCATACATCGTATGTATATTTTTATAATCTTCCTAACATCCTAATATTGTTACAAAATTATCACAGAAGGTAAGAGACACAGAATGATTAAATCAGTTGCCAAATTTTTCGTGTTATTAAATGATGGAGTAGAGATTTAAAATAATGTAAATCCAGAGCTGGCACCCTTATTAAACTGATACCTACATATACAGTGTTTATGTGTGTGTAAGTGTATGAATATTTTTCTGTATTATATTTAATAAGTACCTTCTGATTCAACATGACAAAACTTTCGTTACTTGTAAGCAATCCTAAAATACCATGAGATGGAATTGAGTCTTAGTCTAATTGGACTGCTATAAAGTATGATAGACTGGGTAGAGTATAAACGGAAGCATACTATTTGCCTCATTTCTTAATAATGAGAAGGTTAGCATCAGGCACTGCCCAATTTGGTGTCTTGTGTATGCCTGCTCTCTGGTTCTTAGAGCCTTCTTGATGTGTTCTTGCATAGTAGAAAAACCAAGACAGTTTTCAGGAAAGAAAAAAGGAACCACTTTTATAAAGACACCAATCCTGCTCATTAAGAACTCTGCCCTCAGGCACTAATCACCCAAAAGCCTCATCTGCTAATATCAGCACATGATGATTATTTATTTTCTTTTTCCAAGTTTATTGAGGTAAATTTGCCAACAAACATCATATACATATACTGATCACCCTTGCTTTTAGTGTTCCTACTTATCTCTGGCCATCTTAGGTGCACTTGTCTGTCCAGCATTTAGTCTGTGAAGGTACTCTAAGGTGTTGGCTCCATCTGCAGATTCTCAACTGGCCCTTCCATGTTCTCTGGACTATCCTATTTTCTTTTTTCTTTTTTCTTTTTTTTGTTTTATTTTCTTGATCATTGATTATTAATTATTGTGGGGACAGTGAAAGTTGGTATTTTGTACTTTGCTAATGCCATTCCTCTGGTGATTGCATTTTTAACACATTAGTTTTTGGGGAGCACAAACATTCAACCTTACCTTTTTTATTTTTCTTAGTACACATTTGCGGGGCATAATGATGACATTTATCATGGGGAGTTGGTGCGTGGATGTAACACCTCTTAATTATTTTTTCATTCCCCACCACTCCCATTGCTCTCTCTCCTTCCACCTCTTGGTCCCCTTCTCATTTGCATGAGATTTATTTCCATGTTTGCATTTCACTTCGTTTTTCACCCCTTCTCCCTCCTGTTGCTTACCTCTCCCTCCATCTCTTGTTCCTTTTCCCATTTGAAAAAAGTTCTCTATTGCCATATTGATCATTTTACGGTTGCTTGCCTACACAGTTGTTCAAGTACATTTTCTCACTTCCTTGGATGTTGATAGGCAAAATTTTTTTTCTAATTTTGGAATTCTGCTTACCCTTTAACTAAATTGTTTAAGTTATTGCCCCTTTTTGTAACTTTACTATACAATTTCAGGAAAAGCTAAGCTTTCTTTCTTTTTCCATTTGTATTGTTTTAACAAAATACCATAAACTGGGTAGATGACAAAAACCACATTTACTTACACCAGTTCTGGAGGCTGAAAAGTCACAGGTAAAGGCGCCAGCAGA